ATTGTCAAGTCCATCGAAATCAAAATTGAAATTAAAATGGTCACGATCATCTTTTAAACATTATAAACCAAATGTTACCATCAACAAAAGCGATTCGATTCTGTTTTTCATACACTAACCTAACCTAACCCATATGTCATAATAAAACCTAAAACCTATACAAGTTTTTGTTGCTTTATTTATTGTCAAGTTCTTGAGCATAAACGAGTCGCTTGAGGAATCGGAGCGGTGGGATTTTAGGTCCGCCTCTTATTATGTTTACAGTTTAAATTTGCTTAGAAAAAGTTAGTGAGTTCTATCTTCAAATGAATACGTCATACGTCAAAGAAAAAGGGTTGCCAGTTTACACTAAATAGAAAAAGAAACATTCAGTTGAAAAACGCAAGCAAAACTAAAATAAAATTTGGAATAGATCGGCTTGTAGTCATTTATTCTCTTATTCTTATTCAAAAGTAAGTTAATATTTAGTTAATACAGATATTGGAGTTTTAAGACCGCCTCTTGTTATGTTGGGTTTACAGTATAAAATTGCCTAGAAAAAGTTAGTAATTTCTATCTTCAAATAAAAGATCTTTAATTACGCAAAACATCATACATAAAAAAAAAGATTGCCTGTTTACACGCAATATAAAAAGAAATATTCAGTTCAAAAACGTAAGAAAACTTAAAATAAATGTTGTATACATCGCCTTGTAGTCTTTTATTCTTATTCAATAGAAAATTTCCTAAAAATCACAATATCAAAAAAAACTGTTTTTTATCATCCGGCAACACTTCAACTGAATACATTTTTTTTTCTGTAAGTAATCTGAAAAATTTTATCAATAACGCCAAAATCAGCTCTATAAAGTAAAAACCGTGAAAACTGATACATTTTCTAGCACACTTATAAGCACATTTGGACACAGTTCCTTAACCGATTGACCAGGTCTTCATTTATTATGGCTCGCTTCGCTCGCTTTTTCTTTTCGTTTTTTTCGCAGATCTAATCTAACCGATTGACCAGGTCTCTATTGATGGTGTCCTTTATGGCTCGCTTCGCTCGCATTTTATTTTAGTCATAGTTCTAACCCTACTAATTAACCAAATCTCTCTTAACAGTTGCTCCTTATGGCTCGCTTCGCTCGCTTTTTGTTTTAGACACGTTGCTAACATAATCGATTGATCAGGTCTCTCTTGGTCAGGTCTAGCATTATGGCTCGCTTCGCTCGCTCTTTATTTTGGTCACAGCACTTTAAGCAATTGACCAAGTCTCCATTTTTTATGGCTCGCTTCGCTCGCTTTTTGTTTTATTGACAGTTCTAATCTAACTGATTGACCAGGCCTCTATTGATGGTGTTCTTTATGGCTCGCTTCGCTCGCTTTTTGTTTTAGTCACAGTTCTTACCTTACCAATTAACCAAATCTCTCTTAATAGTTACTCTTTATGGCTCGCTTCGCTCGCTTTTTGTTTGAGTCAGAGTGCTAACATAACCGATTGATCAGGTCTCTTTTAATGGTCTCGCATTATGGCTCGCTTCGCTCGCTCTTTATTTTGGTCACAGTCCCTTAATCAATTGACCAGGTCTCCTTTATTATGGCTCGCTTCGCTCGCTTTTTGTTATTCGCAGTTCTAATGTAACTGGTTGATCAGATTCATAGTGATGGTGTTCTTTATGGCTCCCTTCGCTCGCATTTTATTTTAGCCACAGTTCTAACCTTACGAATTAATCAAATCTCTCTAAATGGTCACCCTTTATGGCTCGCTTCGCTCGCTTTTTGTTTTAGTCACAGTTCTAATCTAACCGAATGACAATGTCTCGCTCGCTTTACGTTTCTGGCTAAAAGCGTGGAATTTTTTTCTTACCACGTAAAGATTGGGTAAAGATACACAAACGGTCTATATAAGCTATAAAGCTCATGAGTCGCCAACTCGGTCAGAATCATTCTGAAATTTATGGTGACTACTATCAGTTGCTAGTCGATCACTCAAATTATTCCATCAATTATGTTATAAATTCGATAGTATTTTTTTTGTGAAACAGTAAAATTATTGTAAAGAAATGTTTTAATATTTTTCATAAATGACATACATGAAAATTTTTCAAAAATCCCGGTATCAAAAAATGTTCAGATTTTTTTTTCATCTGGCAACACTTCAGCTGAATACATATTTTTGTTAAAAGTATGCTTAAAAATGTTACCAAAAACGCCAAAATCAGCTCTATAAAGTGAAAGTTATGAAAAATGATCAATTTTCTGGATAAAGTGGACGCTGTATAAGCCGCCATCTTGAATTTTGAAACTTCAACCTAAAACCTATGTAGCCCACCTATTGGAGCATCCAACGCAGTTTTTGTTATTTTCCTAGCGGCGATAGTGACTGAGCTAGAGTCCAAAACGTGAACAGTGGGCATTAAATCTTCAAACCACCGTAGCTGCAAGGGTTGCCAGGTGTAGGCGATGAAAATAGTCAAATGTCATTTCGGGATGCGTCCTCCATCGACGGATAGCAATTTTCAAGCTCTAAAAGTGTTCCTTTGACATTTACAGTTTTTGGGGTAAATCTCAAAAACTACCCTAAAATCGGGTAATTTTTTTCCACCATATGAAAGAATCTAAAGAGATACACAATCGCTCCATACATGCCAAATACCTTCGGGGTTGCCAAGTCGGTCAAAATCGAGGTTGAATTTCAAACGTTGTTTGCTCTCAGTGTTGCCAGTCGATCGTTCTATTTTTTCCATCGAGTATCTTGAAAAGTTAAAATTAAAATATTTGCATCAAAAAAGTTCAAAAATTCGACAAAAACTGTTTCCTCAAAAATCTCATAAAGGATCAATAATTTTCGAGATTTTTTTTTCACCAGGCAACACTTTAGTTACTTGCCTAAAAAATGTTTCCCCGGAAGTACTCTGACAAATGTCTGCGAGTGCGTCAAAATCATCTCGATGCGATGACGATACACAATTTTCCGGATAAATCGACCGCTGGTTTGGCGGCCATCTTGAATTTTGAAAATCCGGCTCCGTACCGGTGTGGCCAACTCGATAGCGCATCCGATGTACTTTTTTCCATTTTCCTAGTGGCAATACCGACTGCGCTAGAGTCGACAAAGTAAAAAATGGGTGAAATTTTTCAAATCGCCACATACACCAGGGTTGCCAGGTGTCGACGATGAAAATGCCCAAATGTCATTTCGGGGAGTGCCCTCCGTCGAGGAAATTCATTTTTGAAAACCCAAAACGGCTCCTTCTACTTTTCACCTTTTTGGGGTAAATATCCGAAATTACCCTAAAATCGGGGAAAATTTTCACGTCATTCGAAAGAGCCAGTAGAGATTCACGACCAGTCCATACCAGGCGAAGAGCTCCGATGTTGCCATGTGTGCTAAAAGTGCGTTTAAATTTTTCGAAAAAGTGAAAGAATCACAAAATGGCCGCTGCCGCCGCCGCCATATTGATTTTGCCGAGTTTTATAATTTTCCCATAGTCACGACTATATCAGGCAAGCGACCTCATTCACAGATTTTCTCCGCTGGCCACCCAGGTTCCCAAACAATTCGGGTTATGAGGGCATGTAGAAAAACACGTTTTCTATCGTGGAGCCCAGGGTTGTCAGCCCGCGGAAACGAAAACTACCAAAAGTCATAGGGCTCCCCCGGCACAACACCGCATCGAGTCTGTTTTCCGCGAAAAGTGCGTATTTCGAAATTTCACTTTTCTCCCAAAATCTCATAAACTACCACGAAAATGGTAGAAATTATTACCAACTTAAAAAGTTAGCAGCGAGCCCCACGACCGCCCCATACGACGCGAACCCGTCCGACGCCGCCATCTTGGAGAAAATCTCACTGGAAAATGGCGATTTTTCATTGCCGAAACAAAATGGCCGCCCCCGCCGCCGCCATGTTGACAGGCGAATAAAAACTCCCCCTACGTGAAAATCGACTATACTTCCGAGTCACCAACGAAAAGATTCCCCCTCCAAACCTACCACACAAGAAATGACGATTGCCCGAACAGAGGTCGAAAAATGCACATTTTCCAGGTGAAATATCTCGGCCGCCATTTTGTTTTTTTAATCAAACCCCTTTTCAGCCTTATTTTTTTAGCCAAATCTACAACCATTTCGAAAATCGTAACCGTAGAGTGAATAATGTAGAAACTAAAAAAATTATCTCGCCGCCATTTTGTTTTTTGGCTGTACCGATACGCCATTTCAACTCATTTTAAAAAAATATTATCACTCTCCATACATGAAAACGTCATTTTCCCCCTCCTTCTGCCCGAAAAAAGCATGGAGTGAGTCAGTGAGTGAGTCAGTCAGTGGTAATTAAGCTTTATATATTATAGATATAGATATATATATATATATATATATATATATATATATATATATATATATATATATATGTATATATATATAGATAGAAGATAGGTATCCAACTATTCTTATCTTATGTATAGTAAAACGAACTACGCAATACAAAAATTCTAATAAAAATAAAAAATCGGTCGGCGGCGGCCAGCAAGCGCGTCGCTAGTGCGCCGCCGCAGCGGGCGAGAAGTAGACGCAAAGTACGCCATTTAAGGAAAAGAAACAAAAATTACGTTAAAATTAGTCAGCTAGTATAATAACAACTATATTGTGATGGTTTATTTATTAGCAATATCGGGTAAGTACCCCTCCCAAGTTACGTTATTAACAAATTATAATAAAATACATGAGAAACTAAAATCAACAACAAAAATGTAATATACAAATTCTAAAAACCAATCGGTGACCTGATTTTTTTTTTATTTTTATTTTATTATGTGTTATAGTTGGTAGATCCGGTTACACAAGGATCCAATACAATTATCACATTGCAAATCATGACAAGAATCATACTCGTAAAATGAAAAAACTCGATCAAACATTAGTTCGGACTAAGCCCAAGAAAAAATAGCGTAATGATGCAGCCATCAGCTTCCAATTATTGCAGACCAGACAGGCCGACAACAAGAGGTAACATATTTTTAGCGATAGAAATTATTGTTACTGTAAATATATACCATTATATTATCTTCGTATTCGCGTTTACCAAGTAATTTAGGTGTAAAAAATAATGGCAGGATCAGTACCCATATAAATATGAGATGTAGAATATAGATTTTTTGACATTTTATACTCCGTACTTATTTGGGTGATTTGCATTAATCACCGTTTTTCTACAACTTTTGAAAGTAAAGAAAAATAGAAGTATTGATTTCAATTAAACGCTAATAACCAAACGCATTATGATGTAATAACAATACGCAAATGACTCGCGCCTAATGGCCACAGATTAAACACACACAGAAATCGATTATTCTTAAATCGATCTTACCAAGTCCTTCGGAAAAAACTGCATTATTATTTTAAAATGGTAGTGGAATCCAGAAGATAACAAATACTCATAAAGAATTAACTAAAAATCATTATTTTTGTAACTCTTTTAATGGCAAATCAGTATATATTATAAAATATAGTGCAATCGATTATTGATGATCTAATCGACGCACGATCATAATCGTTGGAATGTCAACGTCAATTTCATGACAGCAATTGTCAGTTTTCAATGCTCTGTGGTGTCTCTAATCTCTATCATTGTTTTTTTTGGCGGGAAACTTTCGAGGCGGGAGGTTCAACTTTTTCTATTAAATAATAATTATTTAATTTTTATTGTTAAACTCCAAGTAAACTTCATTTATATTAAGTACTGAAAGTTGACAATGGGTTCAGATAGTGGAGGCAGCGAGCCTACACATGGTAAAAAAAAGAGAAAAGCAAGTCCTCTGGTGGACTTTTCTGATGATGATGAAGATGTAAAACATGCACCATACTTCAAGAAAAATCACATAAGGAGCTACCCTGAGAATTCTCCAGGCACAGTATTTCCAGTTTACATACAAAGTACAAATGAAACAATTAAATTTGGAAATAAAAATCCTATCTATTTAAACAATATATTCAGTCGGTACAATAAAGGTGTGAAAGAAATCAAAAGAGTCAATGCTTTGCGGTATGCTGTTATCTTTGATAATGCAAAGAATGCAAATTCTCTGTTGTCTAATTCCTCTTTCTTGTCATTGCATGAAATTAAAGCTTTCATCCCAGCTGCAACTTCAGAATGCATAGGAATTATTAAATATATCCCTGTTGATCTCAGCTGCAAACATCTTTTTGATAAACTTATTAGTTCCCAGGAAATATTGGCTGTACGCAGATTTACTAGACGAACTCCTGATGGTATTGTCCCGTTGCAGACTGTTTCAGTGACATTTGCAGGTAATGTACTGCCCGAACGTGTGAACTATGGTCTATGTCTTGTACCTGTAGAGGAATATATTAAGCCAGTGTTACAATGCTATAAATGTATGGGTTTTGGTCATACTACAAAGTTTTGCAAACGTAACATTGTATGCTCAATATGTTCAGAGTCTCATTCATACAAAGAATGCACCAATACAAATAAACCACTGTGTATCAATTGCAAAGGTGAACATATTGCCGTGGCTGGGACTTGTCCAGTTAAACTACAGAAAATTAATGAAAATAAAAGTAAAATAATGAACAGAAATAATTTGGGATCGTTCTTTCCTGCACTGAATAAGTCTTATGCCAAGGCAAGTAGTTCTAAACCTTTAAATGTACCTAATGAAAATAACAAAGCTCAGAATATTTTAACCGACGTTATTAATAACGAAAAAGTACTTAAAGCTATCATCGATACATTGCTTATGTTTTGCAATAAAGAAAATAGCTTACCAATTAATTCTTCCACTATAAAAGAGATGTTTATCAAAAAAGTTACTCATAATGGATAGTAAAACATTAGTTGTTATACAGCACAATATCCAAAGCCTTAAACCTAAGTTGGCTTTTGTTTGCGAGCTATTAAATTCACTAAAAGTAGATATTTGCATACTTAATGAAACTTGGTTGAAACCGACAGATTTAATAAGAATTAGAGGTTATACAATTTTTCGAAGAGACAGTGACAATGGATACGGCGGTGTTGCCATTTTATGTAGAAATCATATTCAGTGTTCTGAAATATTTACTCATAGCACCGATAAAATTCAGACTGTAGCTTTAAATGTTCAAATTTCTCAAAATGATCGTTTTGCAGTTCTTGGTGTATATTGTCCTCCTCGTAGTGGTCGATTTCCTATAAACATTTTAAAAGAAACTATCCAGTCAATCAGATCACCGATGTTAGTGATGGGTGATTTTAACGCCCATCATACAGCATTCGGATGCTCTAACAATAAGCCTCGAGGCATACAGATTTATGATATGTTAGATGAACTTAATATGTACATACTAAACGATGGTCAAACTACGACACTTGCTCGTCCGAATCAAATTGCATCTGCTATTGACATTGCATTTATATCACCTACTCTAGCACCATCAGCAGATTGGTCTGTTTACAATGAAGATACACTAGGAAGTTATCATTTTCCCACAATAGTCAATTTAAACATTGATCATAATATATATGACAATTCTTATCGTACAGAAAAGTTTTTATACAAAAAAGCGGACTGGACAGGCTATACAATTAAATCTGGTACTTACTTTACTGACATAAAATACGAACAAGAACCCCTTCTAGCATATGATAAATTCTGTATTTTATTAGATAGATTAAGAAATGAGTTTATTCCTGTACATAAAATTGATAGCAATAATAAATCAAAGCTTCATAAACCAATGCCTTGGTGGAATGAATCCTGTTCGAATGCAGTGAAAGAGGCTAGATTTGCTTTACAGATGTATAGACGGTTTCCATCTATAGAAAATTATTTACTATATAAGAAAATAGAAGCGTCGAAAAAATTAATAATTAAACAGGAGAAGGCAATAAGTTGGAAAAACTTATGCTCTAGTTTTGATAGAAATACACCAATTAGTTGCATTTGGAGATTTGTTAAAATTCTTAATCACAAAAATTCATCACCGAAAGCCAGAGATGAAACGTTTTTACAAGATTTTTTACAGAAAATTGCTCCCTATCAACCTCCAGTTAATACAGATCAATTAAAATATTTTTTTCAATATAATGAATTCAATTCTCACCTTGCATTACCCTTTTCACAAGCAGAATTTAACTTGTCTTTAACTAATAAAAAAGATACCTCCCCAGGTTTAGATAATATACCTTATATTTTAATAAAACGTCTTGATCCAAACGCTAAGTCTATTTTATTAAAAGTTTTGAACGATTTATGGAACAACGGGTTAATACCTGAAACATGGAAAGTTATTACAGTTGTCCCTATTTTAAAACCAGATAAAGATCCTAAGTGTGCTGATTCATATCGTCCCATATCTTTATCATCATGTGTGAGTAAAATCTTTGAAAATATGCTAAAAACAAGAATAGAATTGTATGCAGAGTCTAGATTAATTTTACCCCATGATCAATTCGGATTTCGTAAAGGCCGTAGTACAATAGATAGCATATTAAAATTTTGCGGTGACATACAGGATTCGTTTGATCATGACAGTTATTTAGTTAGTACTTTTCTCGATGTAAGTGGAGCTTTTGATAACGTTGATTTATCAACCTTAGTTGAAATACTACACAGCTTCAATATACCTGGCAAAATTTGTAAATGGATTTTTAACTTCTTTTACTCCCGAACAGTTTTCATTAAGTTTAATAACAGTTTACATGGTCCTAAAACGGCTTTCAAGGGCTTACCGCAAGGAGCGACATTATCACCTTTAATATATTTATTATATACATCACAAATTCATAGATTTGTATCAATCCCACAACTATCTGTTCTTCAGTATGCTGATGATATTGTGTTGTATACATCTAATAAGAACTTATTACAAGCAGAATCAACTTTAAATGAAGCATTACGTCACTTTCATTCGTATTACAAAGACAAATTAAAATTAGATATTAATCCAAATAAAAGTTCTGTTCTGGTATTTAATAAGAAAAATGATTATTTAAATTCTGTAAATATTGTATATAGTTCAGTAAATATTGCGACTGTCCAAGAAAAAGTGTTCTTAGGTTTAGTGTTTGACACGAAACTTAATTTTGATCGTCATGTAAATAAAATTGTCTGTAAAATGCAGAGGTCTGTAAATATAATGCGACATTTAGCTAGTGTAACTTGGGGAATGGATCCTAAAATTTTGAATATTTTATATAAAGCAATAGTTAGAAGCCATTATGATTATGCATTAGTAGCTTATGGAAATTATATTAATTCAACTTTGTTTCGTAAATTAGAAATCATACAAAATAGGGGCCTAAGAATTATTACAGGAGCTATCTGTTCCACGCCTATAAACTCTCTAGAAATTGAAGCAGGCATACCTCCTATATATGTCAGATTTCGGTATCTCTTTGAAAAAATGTTTATAAGAATTTTAGCAAATAAAATGTATTGTTATATGTATGAATGTAATCAATCTTTACAATGTGAATATTTGAAGGAATTGAAGTTGATATGTAAACACATAGACCATAGGGTTAATTGGGATTTCAGTACAACAGAAATTCATTTGACTACTCCTAAAGTTTGTCATGTTAGAATTGTAAACAATACGGAGTTTCTAAGATTCATAGACACTGAAAAACCTGCACATCGCAAAATTTACACAGATGGTTCGAAGACAGAAAAAAATACGAAGGCTGCATATTATGATTCAAAAGCTAAATTTGGAAGATGTTTTAGTTTGGACATAAACTCATCTATATTTACAGCTGAAGCTTATGCCATTTATACCGCTTTGCAATATATTAGAGGAATCAGAGATAACAAATATTTTTTGATTATAACCGACTCCCTTAGTGTCCTTACATGTCTGGAGAATGTATCTATTTCGTATAAAAATAACACATACATCACAAAAATCAGAGAGCTACTAATGGAAAACCTAGACAAAGAAATTGAGTTCTTATGGGTACCATCTCACTCAGGAATAACAGGCAATGAAACTGTGGACAAACTAATGAAAATAGAACATCCAATATTAAATAACAATCCTTATCTTGCACCTCCAGTCCCGCTGACAGATTACAATGCTGTTTTGAAGTGTCGAATGTATCACCATTGGCATGAAATGTGGGAAAACACAAAACTTTATAAAGGAAATTGGTATGCCCAAATTCAAAAAAGAATTCCACCCAAGCCTTGGTATTTCAAATGGAAATTTCCGTCAAGAAAGTTCATCACTACAATTAATAGATTGCGATTTGGCCATGGCAAATTCCCAGCACACTTGAAGAGAATTAAGATTGTTTCGTCGGATATATGCGAGTATTGTGAGTCAACAGCAGCTACATTAGACCATTTGATTCTGCATTGTCCTGCCTTTAATGTCCAAAGGTTGCTTCTAGTAGATGGCCTAATGAAGATATATAAAGACGAAGACATACCCCGCCTCTTGCCATCGCTACTAGAAAATGAAGATACGTACGAATGTATTTACAAGTTCATAATTTTAACTTTTGATTTAATATGAAAACTTGATGTTGTGTAGAATATAAAAGGATATTTTACCTTTATAAAGAACAATGTACTAAAGAAGTGGCTGTATGGATATTTCCAAAGCCGTTAATAAATAAACAAAAAAAAAAAAACTCTATCATTCGTCCGAATCCGAATCATCCGTCAGTCAGTGTGTTACATTCTTGGCGTTGATGTCGTTTGGTTTTCAAACTTATAGCCGTCTCGGTGTGATCTTTGGCTACTGGTGTTCGTGCAAAGTAAAAACCGTTGAGTTGAGAGCATCCGTGCCTCCTCCGGTCTTTTCCATAGTATTGGAATACCTTTTTTTGCGCTAACCGTTTGCGAAAAGACGCTTGTTTATTGTGATTTTGTGAAATCTGTTAACATGTCTCTTCGCTGCATTAACTGTGATATTCGAGTTACTCGAATTAGACGACACTTACTTTCGAATGAAAGTGAGGCTCTTAGAGAAGTTATAAGACTGTGGACATATCCCAGAGAAGTAAGAATCGTATATATTATTTTCTTTTTAAACATGAAAACCGTCATATCCTATTTGTCAACAATTGTTGTTATTTATATAAAAATCTAAAGCACCCACTCACACTAAGTGCATAATGTAGGTTATTCAGTTTTTGCATTTTATATACATTTTACTGAAAGAATGTTTGTGAGTAAATCACTCATACTTAACCTTTTTTAATACATGTTTAAAGGACTATGTAAATATAGCATTAGTGAACTGAAATAACATGTTTTTATGAAATAATTACAAAAGATATGCAAATGTTTATTTACAAACATTCTTTCCTTAAAGTAGCTGGAGTATACTTGCTATTTTTTTAACTCAGAATAGCTTGGCTTACAACCTCTTAGATTGTGAAAAACAATAACACATCTCAATAAAAGCAAGTGGTATAAATGTGTGGATATATCTATCCATAATTCTATGAGAAACCTGTATTTTTTTTGTAAAAACTTCCATTAGATGACAATATTTTCATTGTTTATTTAATCTCGTTGTATTTTTTATAGATCACAAATGCTGACTACATTTGCCATGCATGTTGGGAACTAGCAAATGCTCAGACTACTGATAATGTACCAAATCAAGACAGGCAAGTTGGGCATCAAAACATTTGTGTAGGATGTGGTCGTTCCATTTTGAGACTTAGTTCTCGCATAATACTGCGAGAAAATCCCGCAACTGAAGAAGGCCCAATAGTGGATATTATATCACAATGGATACATCCAAGACAGGTAATAATTATAACCAAGATGACTAACTTCGACTAGAATGTGGATACTGTCTCTCATAAATACAATGTTATATAACTGAACAGATACACACCTAATCCATAAAGGCATCCAATAGTATTTCTTAATATTTTCTATCAATATTCTAGTTATCATAAGTTGAAATAACAGTTGTAGCACATAAATGTAAACTAATAGTGGTTGTGTTATTTTAGCTTACAGCAATGGATCAAGCGTGTACTGCGTGTTGGTTAAGGGCTCAGAGGACTCTTCGTCGTCAGCAATGTGTTGATGAGGCCAGAGTGAATATTGAAGAATCAGTGTCTTGTATTAATTGCAATGAAGAATTGTTACATGGCAGTGGCCACATTTTGTTAAATGAAGATGAAAATCTCACCAACATGATTAAAAACTGGGCATATCCAAACACTGTAAGTGCTTTATTTAGGTTGATAAATAATACTTTCTTAAGAATAAGATTACTTTAAATTAAATATAATTTTATTTTCAGGTTAACTTAACGGATAAAATTCTGTTGTTTTCGAAGTGGTTGACACACGTGTTTGTGATTTGTTTTTGTTTTTCTGCCAACTTTTGATAATCTTTCTTTTCTAAATTGAGTATTTCTTACTAACAATACATAGGTAAGTGTTTTATGTAAGTAGTTAACATAATAGATCTTACTTATAACACGTATTATATAGATAACAATTTAATACTTAAATAGACGGTTGTTAGGTTAAAAGTCAATATGGAATCTGACCCTCCTGACCCCCCAGATCCACCAGACATCGAATTTGTATCTCCACCTATGTTCTCTCAATCTCATTCTTTACCGGATAAAGTTGACTCTCGGAAACATAAGTTACCGACGGAATCTACCTCAGGTTTAGACAAACGTACGAGAAACGACAATGATATAGACACTTCAGTTTCAGTTCAAACAATTTACACACACCCTAGCCTTTCGCAAGTCCGTAAATATGGCCAAGACGATCGTGGTCCCTTTGTTGTACACGTCAGTAGGTCTGAACCTGACCCTGCTGCTGGTACTACTATCCGTCCTATTAAATTTGGTCAAACTGTACATAAACATGGCATCAAAAATATAGTGAAAGGTGGCATTAGGAACGTAGGAAGAAATAGGATTGAAATAGAATTTACAACCGGTTTGGAAGCTAACAAATTTGTATCCTCAGACTTTATTATTCGGCATAAATACAAGGCATCTATACCAACATATAACATAACTCGTATGGGTGTTGTTAGAAACATTCCTGTCGACTGGTCTCTTGATGAGTTTATTGAATCAGTTGATCTGCCGGAGACAAGTGGGAAAATCCTCAAAGCCAGAAGACTGAATAGAAAAACCTATGTAAATGATAAAATTACTTGGACCCCTACTCAAACAGTAGTACTTACGTTTGAAGGGCAGCTGCTCCCTAAGAGAATATATTGCTACTCAACTTCTCTTCCTGTAGAAACATACCAGCTTCCGACAATTCAGTGCCATAATTGCTGTAGATTCGGCCATATTAAAACTCAGTGCCGATCCAAACCCAGGTGTTATCGTTGTACCAAGGAACATTCAGGAGAAATCTGTCCCATTGTTGAAAGTTGTGCCACCTGTTTACACTGCTCTGGTGGTCACTTTGCCACAGACAGAGGATGCCCAGAGTTTGCTAGACAACACAATATTAAAATTATAATGTCACAAGAAAATGTCTCATATTTGGACGCTTCTGCCCGCTTTGCCCCTGTACGTCGCCCTTATTCTGATGTATCGAAATCCCCTAAAGCCCCCACATCATTACAACCCCAGACTCTAGAAATCCAATCCTACTCTCATTTACCTTCCTCATCTATTTCATACCGCAAAACTATCCCACTCCCTCCTAGGAAAAGACCCTCTCTCACCAAAGGATATGATCAATCTGCTCACCAAGCCGTTATATCTGAACCCCCTCCCACGATACCTAACGGCAGTAATTTAGAAAATCCATACTCTTCATCTAGTGATGACAGATTCTTAGAACACATTATTTCTCTACTTACAGACATACTTTTCAGATTTAATGACGCCTTACCGCCCAACGTTGCACAAAAACTCAATATCTTAACTAGTCTTCTACCCAAAAATGGCTCCATCACCGCCAATGACGAACACCAGCCACTTTCTACAATGGAACAGTAGAAGTATTAAACCAAAATTACATGAACTCCAATATCTGCTTAATAAATACCACGTGACTGTTGCTGCCATCTCTGAGACTTGGCTGAGGCCAGAAGCCCGATTCCGGGTACGTGGCTTTGCCTGCCTCAGGGATGACAAAGCTGATGGTTATGATGGTTGTGCCCTACTAATCAAACAAAACCTCACTTATTACAAACTTCCTATTCCTCCCCACAATGACCTATTTAATATCATAGCAACAAGAGTAATGAACATTACTTTTGTTTCTATTTATTTACCTCACCCTCATATCTCCATCATTTCTGATTTAGAAGCAACGCTTAAAAACTTACCTAGTCCTGTAATAATTCTGGGTGACTTTAACACTCATCATACATCATGGGGATCCTACTACTGTGATTCATTCTCTCCTCATTTAATAGATTTATTTCATGAACTAGATGTGTGTATCCTAAATGATGGTAGCCTAACCAGAAGAGTATACCCCAATCAAGACCCGAGGTCAGCTGTGGATCTTTCAATGTGTTCTACATCTTTGGCTCCCCTTCTATCATGGAAGTCAACATTGGAAACCTATGGTAGTGATCATTTCCCCTTAATAATCTCCAAACCTGACACCTGCATCCCAGCTCCTTTTATTCCTTCATTCCGCAAATTCAATACGCGTAAGGTAGATTGGATCAAGTTTTCAGAAGATGTGGACAGACAACTGAGCCTTCTAAATGTCAATCACAGACCAGACATTGAGGAATTGTATTCTTCTTTCACAGACGCATTAGTGACGGCGGCTACTAGTAATATTCCAATCATTCGTTCATCAAAACGTAACCTATCATCTCCCCCGTGGTGGGACGCCGAATGTTCAGAAATAATAAAACTTAGAAAACGAGCAGAAATAAATTATAATCTGAACATGTCCACGGAAAATTTTATTATTTATAAACAAATATCGGCTAAGGCTAAACGCCTTTTCAAAAACAAAAAAAAATCAGGATGGCATAGTTTTTGTGAAAGTCTTTCTCCATCAACAGCTCCTTCTAAGGTTTGGCGTAGTATTAAACGCTTCCGTGGTTCTTTTGTCGGTCCCTCTCCATCATCAAATGATCCCACCATATGGTTGGAATCATTTGCTAATAAGTTGGCTCCTCCCTTCGTTCCATTTGAAATTGAACAGCCGCCCCTCCCCCATCCTTCAAGCCAGATTCAGGATAGATTTGACTGTGAATTCTCTCTGGCTGAACTTAACTTGGCTTTAAAAAATCTAAAGGATTCTTCTCCAGGGGAAGATCATATTCCTTACACATTTGCTTCGCATCTCAGCTCGACCGGATTAACATTTTTACTTAACTTATATAATTACATACTGAATACGGGGACTATCCCCTCATCGTGGAAATCACAAATTGTTATCCCAATCTTGAAACCATCTAAAAACCCTATTGATGCCTCATCATACAGACCCATAGCCTTGTCTTCTACACTTTGCAAAATTCTGGAACACATGATTAAAAACAGGTTAGAATGGTTGGCCGAGAATAGGGGACTATTGGCTAAGAGTCAATCGGATTCCGTAAAGGTAAGGGTACACTGGACAGTCTTGCCATACTTACATCAGATATAAGGTTAGCCTTTTCTAAAGATGAGAACGCCAACAAAGAAGATACTTGGTTGGCGTTTTTCTTGACATTTCAGCTGCCTATGACAATGTCCTGCTTCCGGTGCTCAGAGAGAAATTACTTCGAATGAGTTTTCCTGCGAGGCTAGTTCATTTTATTTATAATCTTCTAACCACTCGTCTGTCGGGCCGCCTAGCGACAAAAATGCACTTCTGTTGGCACCGCGTCGCGAGCACGTCACAGACAGGGTCGCGGAGCGTGTCGATTCTTATTAGAATGTGTTTTTTTCCAATAAGACCGTTAAAATAAGCTTAAACTAATAATATTCGGAATCTAGAAACAATTATCTAGTAGCATTATTAATTACAACTGCTCTGAAGAGTTAATAACAATAGATAATAACTATGGAAAAATTGGTTCTAAAAAATTGGAATTATAATTTGGAATTAAATAAAAACAACGCAATGAGTTCTATGTATTTTTATTGTTATTTAATCCTGCCCATATATAAATAACAATACAAGCAAAATATTTGTACACGATCATAGAAATAGTTTTTGTATAACAAGATTCTTTGGTATCTACCTACAAGGCATCCACTTGAAACGCGCGTCAAGTGGCCTTATATTCAGATCTCGGTTCTCAGTAACGATAACAAGTAGAACAAAGACTTTTTATTTATAGTAACTTAAGTTCATCTACTACACAATAAAATAGCGAGCCGAACGTTTAGTTTTATAGATTTTTCATAAAAAAAAAACAAAAATGACACTAAAATATGACCTTTAAAACAGTACTTCCGAAAAATCTATTTTCTTGCCAAGTTTATATAAATATTGTAATAACAGTTGATATTTCGAGTTCTCGAAAGATCTATGGATCCTATTTTATATAATTACAAATATGCTTCGAACTAAAATTTGATAATAAATTCAAGTAAAAACAGAGAAATTTGAGACATATTGGGCATAAACATGCTAGTTTAATATGGATAAGACATAAAGTGACGTATCACTTCACGTTTTAATTTTAATATATAAATAATTTTAGAACATACTTTTTTATAAGATTACCTAAAAACAAATGTGTAAGGTGGACATAATGCTAAAAACATTATCTATTAGTCAACTTTAGCAGATAAGTATATAAAGTATATAGGTAGGTAGGGGTTTAATGCTGAAAGTGCATTATTAAGGTGATATATTTAAAATCTAATAAGTTATTTATCACATTATTTACAGTCACTTGGAAAACATCAGAATATTGGATATATCAAAAAAAAAAACACAGGATACAATATAGATGGAAGGTTTTATCATAAAAAAAAACAAGACAAAAATTTACAGGTAATGAACGTTTTTAATGAAAAATGCATATTAATATTTTAATACCTTTTTTATAAAAAACAACTTAATTTTATTTTGCACAAACTTGCACAATATTTAGTGTATAAAAACAATATATGTATTACAGTATACAATGGAACAGCTACAGAAATTAATTATTAGGTACGTAATAAAAATAAATAAGTTACCACATCCGGCTACCAACAGTACACAAGTAGCCATGCATTTATTTGTAATAGAATTAATTTTATTTAACGAAATCTGCAATTTTCGAAAATAATCGGTGCAAGATTACAAAGCAAACGTCTTATCTATACTATCCCACCATCGTCGACTGCCGCCATCTTAAACGCGAACTGGGTCTGTGGCGGCACCGCGCTGCGGTGACGCTCTGTCTGTGGCGTGCTCGCAACGCGGGCGTAGCATTCCCAGCTTTGTTTTTAATGATTTGCAGCTCAATTTAAACATATATAAGCTTTGTTACTCATAATAATAGGAAACAGTTTAATTTTAATACGCAATAAACAACAGTACAATAAGTTTTGATATTTATGTAACCTAAAAACCTTAAAGACAAAATTCGAGACCCTAGTGGTAAGCAGTGGAGTCCACACTTCAACGACGGATAAAACAAGAAAAATGGATTAAATACATGCTAATATTTATTTAAAATGAAAGAATAATAAACAATACTTACATTTTCCTCGAATAATTCCAAGCGGAGACACTAAACACAAACTTTATTGCTTTAAACAATGACTACAGTGAGCGGAGAATGTACCATAAAGTAACAGCTCACTACCATAAAGAATTGTATTAGATGTTAGATTTTGTTTGTTAATATTCCGTCTTTGTTATCTTACTCTTTATTACGTAGGAGAAACAGGGACAAAGGTATTTTAGAGCGCTGACTCGGCCGATTTAAGGAGACCGTATGTCAACCACCGCGCTGCGGTCATGCCACAGATAACGGGGTAGATGACGATGCTCGCGTTGCGGTGGCACGACAGACGAGTGGTTTGGTAGGTCAGTTAAGATCCGTTTTCACAACCATGAACTCTCTCCGAGAACTGTTTGGCAAGGCTTACCTCAGGGCTCTGTCCTGAGCCCTTTGCTTTACAGCTTATACACCTACGATCTCGAGATGTGTGTGACAAACTTCGCTAATATCCTCCAGTATGCGGATGATATATGTCTCTATGTCGCTAGTAAATCTGTTGATAATATTACAAACAGACTGAATTCAGCCTTATATTACTTGAAACAATGGCTGGATGATCATGGACTTACCCTGTCCACTGCGAAGAGCAACTCTGTAACCTTCACTAGAAAAAGAGTAGTCCCTCCTGCCCAAATTATAATCGATGATCAGACTATTCCATCCTCAGATCAGGTAAAATTTCTTGGTGTCATCCTTGATTCCAGATTAACAGGTTCAGCCCATTTTAATTTTGTTGCACAAAGATGTGAAAGTGGAATAAATATACTCAAATCCCTTTCAGGGGTATGGTGGGGTTCTCACCCATACTCGCAGAAGCTCTTATACAACGCCTTAGTCCGTAGCTTATTTGACTATGGGTCATTTTTACTTGAACCCTGTAACAAAGAACCCCTTAATAAATTAGATAAACTCCAATTAAGATGTTTACGAATTATAGTAGGCGCCATGAAGTCGTCTCCTGGCATTGCTCTTCAGGTGGAGTGTGTGGATTCTCCTTTGGATCTGCGTCGCCAATATCTTTGTGACAGATTTATTTTTAAAACTGTCCAACTGCATTCCCACCCTCTTCGCCCTCGCTTAGATAAATTATCTAGAGCAATCAATGTCTCTGCATATTGGACCCATAAGGAGCCTCCTAGGATAATAAAAAGCTATAGAAAACTATCTGTCTTGTCTAATGATATTGTAACATTTGATACCCACCCTCTATTTAAAATTAATTTTGAAGCTCTTATTTTTACACCCAAAGTAATAAATTTTGGCATTCAAAAAAACGATCCTTCGGCACAAATAAAATTTCTGGAACATTTCAATTCAGAGTGGAGTACTTGGTTACCAATTTTCACTGATGCCTCTCGAACTCGCTTGGATGGAAACGTGGGCGCAGCAGTTTGGATACCCAAATATAAAATAGTATTAAGTTTCAAATGTCCTATAGAAGCTTCGGTCTTCTCCGGAGAAGCTGTGGCTATCCTAGAAGCAATTTCTTACGTCCTCTCTCATCAACTAAACAAATCTATAATCTTTACTGACTCACAAAGTTGTCTAGCAGCTCTCTTAAGCAATCTGTTTAAATCTAAATCTCCATCTCCTATTATCCTTAATATTAAAAACTTACTTTTTGAATGTCAATGTCACAATATTGATATAGCTCTAGCTTGGATTCCTGGACACAGTGGCATCCGTGGCAATGAAGAAGTGGATGCTTGGGCTTAAGATGCAACATCCAATGGTGACACATCACGCCTACAAAATTACTCTTCTGATATTCTTCAAATAGCCCAAATTAATCTTAAGTCTGAATGGAATAAAAGATGGTTCACCAATTCCAAAATTATAGGAAGGCACTATGGTAACCTACAAACCACCGTTCCAAGCAAGCCCTGGTTCTTCAAATTCCGCGATCTTCCTCGACGTGTTATTACAACAATTTGCCGCCTTCGTTTTGGCCATGTTACCTCCCCAGTCTTTCTTTCAAAGATCCGTATATTAGACAATTCCATGTGCGAGTGCGGAATCGAAGAAGGTACCACCGACCACATTCTCTTTAACTGTCTGAAACAACCTTCTTTATATGAACAACTTCCACCTAAAACCCCCCGTCCCATTAACCTAAATACTATCTTGTCTATTTCTAATATACCTATCTTTTTGTGTCTTTGTAAGCATATTAAAAAATATAACATTAAATTGTAACCTACAAGATACTATAATATATTTATTGTCATACTTTTTATTTCATTTATTACTAAAATTTGTGACGTTTGCTTTGTGTTGTCCTTTTAGGTCAGGAAAGAGTGTCTCTCTCACTACGGGACGTTGGCAGAATTTCTGTGTAAAACGGAAAAAGGCCATTTACATAAAAAAAAAAAAAAAACTTAACGGATAATATTTGCCATGCTTGTTGGCAACTTGCCAATGAAGCGACACATTGTGATAGCGAGTCACCAGAGTCTGCACCTCAACCTTTGCCAACAACTGATGATCATGACTCTGAATCTCAGAATGCCTATCATGAGGATCCCACTTCAAACCCAATACAGCCGGGCATCCTACAAAACATAGAAGAAACAATAACTTTGTTAAGTGTACGAAGAGCAGCTGCCACACCCCGTCACTGTATTTTCCCTAACTGCTCTAACATTGAACGGTACTATGTGCGAGATGTAGTTCGATGTCGTGTCATGAAAGAATATAATTATTACATACCACGTAGTTCTCGCATATGTAGTTACCATTCTGCTGCAAATATGTTTCATGAATTGTATTTGTCTAGTAATAGCTTTAACAACTTTACTGTTAGCCAAATAGAAGATGTAATCTTCATTTTAGTAGACAGTATAAGACGTAATACTAACTTTGATTTTGAAGATGTAAACATCATACCAGATAATTTATTACATTATTGGATTGGTTTCAATAAAGATCAACATCGTCAAATATTAATTGAATCTAGATTAAATAATATACGAAGAGGGGGTCTAGCACTGACTGCCTTTTTATGTAAATTAAGAACAGGAGACTCTGGAGATAGGCTATCTGTTTTATTCCAAGTGCCTAGGAGAACCCTAGAAACATTAATGGACATAGCCAAAGAACATTTAACTTTATATTTTGTACCTAGACATTTAGGACTTCAGCATATAAGTAGGGAGGAAGTGGCTGCAAAAAATTCTATTATCGCCAATGGTTTGTTTGGCAATCCAGAGTCTCCAATAGAAGAGCGACACGCAATATTAATATGTGATGGCACATACGTCTATACACAAAAAAGTTCAAATTATTTATTTCAAAAATCAACATATTCTATGCATAAGTACAGAAACCTTGTGAAACCATTTATGATTGTCTGTTGTGATGGGTACATATTAGATGTTCTCGGTATTTATCCAGCCACAACTAATGATGCCACCATAATGTCAGCATGGATAGAAAACACCGATTTTCTACAATTTTTCAAAGAAGGAGACGTTTTTATTTTAGACCGCGGTTTTAGGGATTGCATTGATAAAATTCAAGATGCTGGATTTGATGCTCATATACCAGAATCTCTTTCACCAGGCCATTCGCAACTTACAACTCTGGAAGGCAACCGGAGCCGGTGTGTGACCATTAATAGATGGGTTGTAGAAGCAGTAAATGGCAGGGTAAAAAGAGATTTTAAAATATTTCGACAGGAATATTTCAATAGAGCTGCTTCCCATTTAAAAAAAGATTTTCAAATAGCAGCAGCTCTGTTAAATGCTTATGCTACTCAATTTACAGACTCTGTCCATGCTGAAGAAATTGTGAGCATTATAAATGACCGGCTGTTTCTTAGCAACACTCTTGCTAATATTGTGGCTACACAGAATTTGCACCGAAGAAATACATATTTTAATGAGATTATTACAGCAGATATATCTTTCCCCGAGCTAACAATGGAAGATTTAGTTTTGTTTGCTTGTGGGACCTATCAAATACGTCAAGCGAGGTCATACATTGGGGAACATTTACGGTTTCATGGGGTGTATGAAACTGAAGTATGTCGAGAGGATGTAGTGGATTTATCTGCTTTAGACGGAGAAGCTCCCGTTTTAATAAGAGCTAAAATAAAATCACTACATATTTCAAGGAAAACCTATTTTGTGTTTATTGCACTTGACCGGACACAGGAAGGTAGACATGCTATCATAGACTACTGCTGCAATTGTATTGTGGGGTTGAGAACGGTTGGTTGTTGCTCACATGTCATGAGCATAGTTTGGTATTTGGGGTATGCTTGTCATTTTGATAATATGTCACCACCTGCTCAAGTTTTAGATAATATTCTAGAAAGATTGGAAAATCAATAAAATACTGGAGTTTGATTATATTTTTGCTTTATTTCATTACTTCCCTTGCCACATTTAATTACTTACATAAAAGTTGCTCATTGAAGTTTATAGATATGAAATATATTTCTTTAAGTAAATAATAAATAATACATGGGTCAGAGACGAGAACATATAAAATAAAAGGTCAACTAACTAATAAACATTTCTAGGTGATTTGTAGAGAGTATTATGCAAAACATTTGTAGCTCCTGCAAACCGCACAGAGGGCAGCAGATTCTATTTAACCTTCACCTTTTATACTGCCTACTTTTATATTTTTGTCACCTTGCCTGTCCAACACGACTGTTTTACATTGGATCACCGGGGTTAAATAAACATCGATTATTACTTTTTACAGCAGGCACTTTTACGTTCTCCTACGCGATGCGGAGAAGAATCGCACAATCACTTCCTAAAACCAATGTTCAGCATTCTCTATCAATTGATCCTTTGTCTTGTGGCGCTTTTGATGATTATTTAGTTTCGCCAATATGCAGCTATTCAATTCAATTCAGTTTCTTCGTTATTGGCCCTTCTGAGATTTAGCCAGCATCTATTTTCAGGTTGTAATGGTGGGATTATTATTTGTTCGGTTTGGCTGCTTGTAGAGTTACCGGGTGTTGTGCAAATACAAGGGTATGAGATAAAATCAAACAAACCAAAAAGTTTGGCTGAGATATAGTAAAAAAAAAAGTTTTACGCTCACTCACTGACTGACATTACTTTACAGCTTTACTGTCAATCAATGTGCCAGAAAATGACATTGACAACTTCTTTAGTAGTAAATACGTTTTATTTTTCCTTTGAAATACAGGTATAAAGCATATTTTTTTACGTTTTGTTATTACTTAGCATCTTGTGCCATATTACCTTTATATGCGTATATCTTTTTACCCTACAGTTGTAGAGATATGGTACAATTAGGTTTTTTGTTACATGATTAAAGACAAAAGAAATGGCAATAATTTTGTTATCCTACATTTTATATTAACAGGGTACCACCGATGTACAGATCTCTGCCATTGTTCTT